CACCCAGGCAGCCCCCACGCAGCGTCACCCAGGCAGCCCCCACACAGTGTCACCTAGATCAGCCGTCACACCGTGACAGGTGGTTTGAACTACAAATGGGATTATGGAATAATGATAATAATAATAATAAATGCCGGTAACAGGCTCCCTACCTGCTTGGTAGTGCACGACTCAGTGTAGCTTTTGGGTCATATACTTACAAAATATAACTGATCTCCACTTAAATACATGTCTTTTTCTGAAAGAAGAGAAACAGGCCTCCCTGTGCCACCCCCTGGCCCGCTCCAGGCCCTTGGGGCCCATGTTGCCCTGCTCCCTCCCCAAATCCTCTTTCTGGAAGGATCTGCAGGCCACAGCATTAGCCACCTGTGCGTGCCTGAAGGAGGGAATGCCAGGAGCCCACGGCACTGCTGGCTCAGAATGCAACCTAGAGGAGCTGTGGTGCCTCGTCCCAAGGCTTCCTCCCTGTGTGTCACAGTCTGACAAAAACACACAGACTGGGCTCCCACTAAATCCTCAGCATCCAGCCTTGAGAGTGAACGAACCTCACATGTCCCCGGCCCTGAGTCCTGCCAGGTAAAGGCCTAGGCATGAGAGGCCCAGTGGCACATTTTACACCCATGTGGCAGCTTCACAGGAGGAGCATCTGCCCCTGAGCCCCCGCGCTGCAGTGCCCTGCCACCCTTACCTTCGGGTGAGAACTAGAGTGTGTGCTCTCCCCTGGGAAATCGCTCTTGTTGTGCAGGAATAACCAACGCGTAAAACATTGCTGTATCCCACTTCAAATGAGTAAGTGTAACAGCTGATAGCAGCTGCCATGACTTAGCAGTACAGAATCAAAACACTTAACATTTGCAAGCTCTCGCATTCACACAATGTCTTGCATGCCTTGTTTCATTTGACTTTCACAGCAACTGTCTGACTGCTCACATTTGACCAATGTCCGAGAAGCTTTGGGACTCAGTCAGCGTAAGCGACCTGCACGGGCCTCCACAGGCACCTTGGAGGACAAGGTGGCAGCTTCCTTCGACAGGAAATATTTGCTGCCATGTGTGCCGTGAGGCCACACCCGAGACCTACTTGGATGCGTGGAGAGTTCGTGTTGTCTCATTTGTCTCAAAACCCTGCGCGTGAAGCCTCAGCCGCTTCACCCACGGCTGCCGCAGCTCAGAAGCAAATGAGGCGCCCCCGCTAGTAGGTGAGCGAACACAAGACCTGGGGCTCCCGAGCCACGCGACCGAGTGCAGTGGCGAAGAGCCGAGCGCTAAGCCTCGGAGAAACTGCAGGAAGCGTCGTGCCTGCTTCCACCTGAAAGCAGCCGGGCTGGCGCTGCCTGTGCGACTTCCTGGACATGGCAGAACTCCAGAGAGAGAAGGACGGGGGGTGCCGGGGCTCGGAGTGGGGAGCAGGGCATGGGGAAGCCTCCTGTCGCCGTGACAGCGGGCCTGAGACACCTCCGCCTACAGGGAGGAAAGCTCCGTTTCAGCTCTCGGCTGCAGAGGCTGCAGTGCAGGCCTGTTAGGCTGCTCCCCACCGTGTGGCTGCTGGCCGAGGCTCAGTGCACAGCTGAGGAGAGGTGTGGCCGACTCTCCAGCAGCCTTGCCCTGCCCCCGCCACCCCGAACTCTGGTGGACAAATGTGGCACAGCCCGTGGAAAGCAGACCAACATCTTGCAGGGCCAGGCCAGCTTCTCCAGGAAGCTGCGTGCTCTGAATCGGCACCAGGGCACGGTACTCCTCATCCCCCTGCCAGGATTCCCCAGCCCAGGACCCATGGGGTTGAACACATCACGTTACCCAAGTTATTCACTAGCTAAGTTTCTACTTCCTATCCCCGAGAATTTATGCTCAGTTGGCTAGAAGTCGGCTCCAGAAAGAAGAGGGGGCAGTAAGCTGCCACTGCCCAGCCCGAGTTAGGAGTTGTGTCAGAGATGCAGAGGCTCTTTGACCCCATGTCCCATGACTATAGGTCACAAAGAAGCATAAGACACTGGTCCACCCAGGAAGGACAGCAGGTGGCCCTCCACCCCTGCGGAGGGCAGAGGCACGTGCTGGTGGGGCAGAAGCGAGGTGACAGCAGGCAGACATGGCCAGAGCTGGCTGCACGTGTTAGGACGTGTGTTCACACCATCCCTCTCTCTCATCCCACCCAGCTAAGATGCAGTGTTGACATCTTTGTAATATTCATGCAGTGAGCTTTTGTATTCATGGTTTCAGTCATGAGATGTGGAAAGGAAATGACTCAGCCAACAGGTGCCCATCGGCAGAGCAGCTCCAGGGAGGCGGCTGCAGGGAGGCGGCTGCAGGGAGGCGGCTGCAGGCCCCAGTAGCTCTTGCCACCCCCACTGCCCCCACAACCCCTGCCCTCACTCCCAGATTGAGGTCACACATAGGCACAGCTTTCCATCTGGGCGCCAGCTTGCTGACTGCCCCTGCCCAACCTCTGCCATGCCCTCATGATGGTCCTGTGACTCTGGGCAAACTTCACAGGCTGCATGGTGGGACAGCGTGAGCTGCCACCCAGGGACCTGGCAGCAGTGAATGGCAAACGCCATCAACGGACCTCCCAGAGACTTCGGCTGAGGCAGCACCTGTGGTGCTGTGGAGGGGCAGGGGGAGCCCCAAGGCCCTGGACCACAAGCCTTCATGCAGCAGCATACCCACCCCCGGAGCACTGTGACCAAGTGCCGCCAGAGCTCCTGCCACGAGTCACAGGGTCACTGGCTGCACTGCTGCCCTGCTCCCCTGTGTGACAGCAATGGAGACTTAGGTCCTGACTGTGAGACTCAGGATGTCCCCCTGCGCCACTCTGAGCTATGAGACTATGTGTGGCCATAGCCTGGCTCTTGTCCAGGGAGAGTGTAGACGCGACCATCTCAGGAGCAGATTGTGAGGCTCTGACCTCACGATGCCGCCCTCTGTGTATAATTACATACAGAGAAAGTTAAATCAGGAGCCGTACAAGCTGTGTGTGCAATGCAATCGTGTACACCTCTAAAATGACTAATTGCTTAAAGGATCTTAGCACCTCTGTGAAGTATACAGGGGAGAGGAATCTCTTGCCACCAATGTAGTGTACGGCACTGAGCAGGGCCTTGGGCCAGTGCAGACTGGACCACAGCTGATCGTCAGACTGGGATGTGCCTGGCCTGAGCCCTAGCCAGCCAGCTCTCTGCAGAGGCCTCAGCATCGGTTCCTCAGCCCCCGTGATTCCCACCCATGGTCCAGACGGGACACCCTGGTGAGCCTTCCTGGCACAGACCTTTCTAGATGCCAGGCCGGGCTCATGAGCCTCCCATCTTCTCAACCCTACAGGCCTCCTGGGCACTGACAAGGGCGCAGCTGCCCAGCCTACCTGTGCTGGACAGTGCCTGCAAGGTGCCCCTCAGGTGCTGCAGGGCCACAGGTGACACTTCATAGCGCGATGCGTCCAGAGCTGGAACCTTCTGGCACCTTCCAAACACTCCATCTGTGGAAGAGGAAGGCAAGAGAGAGAGCGTTTATCTTCAGAGGTGGGGAAGGCCCACATGCACCCTGACTAGCTCCGCACAGTAGCCTTGGGACAGTGCGCTTCAGAAGCCGGGTCCTCGAGGACACAAGTGCATTCAAAAAGCTTTCCCTGATAGAGAACCAAGTGTCACAGGAATCACCAGAGCAGAAGGCAGAGGAAAAGCGGCTAGGGGCCCAAGGCCGTCTGAAGTCCCACGGGCCTGCAATGCCTCAGTGCAGAGATGGGGACCCCACATGCACCCCACACCTCTAAGCGTTTGCGCTCGGCTTCCCACCCCTCCTCATACTGCACACATTTGTCGTGAGACCTGCGGCTGCTGACTCAGTGACAGATAGCCACCAATGCTCGGGGCCCACTCTGCAGGGAACACAGACACTCAGGAAACACGAACACTAACTTGCACAGGCCTCAAGGATGCCCCAGGACGGCTGGAGCCAGCAGCCTGCTCTGATGACCAGCAAGCAGGGTCACAGAGGTGCCACAGCCACCAGGCTGAGCTAGCTCTCACCCCAGTGCCCTCAGTGGCAGCCCCCTCGGCTCACAGCCCTGTGAGCCACGGCCTCTAGCAGCCTGCGCCCATCAGTCCTTAGAGTCCTTATTCAGGAACTGTGCTCTTCGAGATGAGCTTGGCGGAGGCCCCAAAAATTCAAATCCCCTTGTCCGGCTCACACAAAGGACTAATTCAGGGTCTAGTGCTTCCCACGCAGGGCAGCCATCTGCAGACCCAGGCCACGGAGGGAAATGGTGTCCTGCATTGTTCACAAGCTTCGCTACCAGCGTGGCTCAGAAGGTCATTCAGATGCAGCAGCCAGTGTGACGAGCAGACTGCCCTGGCCGGGCTGGGCTGCCCAGAAGTCTGGCCCAAGAATCCCACAGGTGAGCTCACCACCACAGCAGGGTTAGCAGAACACAGTCTCAGTGTGTGCGCACCTTGGGATTTCTACGGCACTTTGCAAACCGGGCTTGCAGAGGACAACCGGCCCAGCAGTGTGGAGCAGGCAGCAGAGCCACGCGGACGCAGCCTCCTGTCGCTGGCCCTCCTCAGCAGATGCCCTGCTCAGCCTCCACCCCACAGAGTGGCCACACCAGGCCAGAATGGCTCCCCTGGGGTGGACGCAGGGCCTGCAGCCCCACCCAGGGCCACAAAGAGGATGTTCCTGCTCTTTCCCTATCAAATTCTGAGAACAGTGTGTGTGTGTGTGTGTGTGTGTGTGTGCGCGCGCGCGCAAGCACGTACTATGTTCTGGGGGGCAGACTAGGGAAGAGAGGAGAAGAGATGAGCTGCAGCAACAGCTACAAATTGTTCACAAAAAGTGAAGGACGCAGTGTACAGGAGCACTAAGGGGCAGGAAAAAGCCCAACCCTTTGCAGACGGGTGCAAGTCCAAGGCCAGACGGCCAAGGGGAAAATAGAATTGGGTTTCTCGATTCCCAGGCTAGGACCTGGCCAGTGACTCCCCAAATCCTGGGTCAGCCCCCAGCATCCAAGCCCTGCTTCAGGACCCAAGGACCTGAGAAACCAGCAGGATAGAAGGAAAAGAGACAGGTAGAAAGGAGACAAGGCAATCATAACTAAAAATGCACTTTAAAGGACGCTGGCCCACAACCCAGTGGAAGTGGCCCTGGCATCCATGTCAGCTTCTTTTGGTTAAATGAGACTCCATCCTTCTGGAGCAATCAAACCTAAAACTCGTCAGGAACCCCGTGCTGAAAGTCTGTAAGCTGGCTTTAGTGAGACAGAGCAGGAACCTGATCCCAAGATAAAGGGATGGGCTGACACCATTCAAGGAGTGCTTCAATTGCCTGTCTTAAAGCCAGGAGCAACGTGCCATCCATACCTGCAAAGTGAGTCAACGCCTTTCTGAGGGTGAGCCACCCTTTCCCGGGGTTTCCAATTCAGGACAAGCACAAATGATCCCAGCATAAGTGTCTGTCCCTCTCTCTCTTTGTCTCTATCTGTCTTTGTCTGTCTCTCTCTGTGTCTCTGTCTGTCTGTCTGTCTCTCTCTGTCTTTTTTTTTCCCCTGCACCCTTTCTTTTACTTGAAACTTCCACCTCATAAATCTCTTTATGTCTCTGACTGACACATCCTGAAAGTTCTTTTCCAAGGCTCGAGTCAGCAAACCACAGACATTCCACAGGCAGGGCAGGGCAGTCCCTCACCTCAGCTCAGAAATCTCTGGGGCCATCTGGTGACCAACCCTCCTGGTAAACATTGGGTGCTCTGCCATCAACGCGGCCCAGGTATCTGGACTTCCAGCTGCACCCCAGCCCAATAGCAGGCACCACCTGGGACCCCACTAGCCAAGGAAGCCAGCAGGGGGATATGTGGTGGTGGGGAAAGGCCTGGGGTTCAGCCCCCAAGTGCTCCCCAGAAGTGGGCACCCAGAACTTGGTGGTGACTACAGGAGAATCTGTCTGTGGGGAACTGAACACCCCCAATGACATGGGGGGGATCACCTTCCTATGGAAACTCAAAACCCTTCAGGTTTCCATAAGGAAAAAAGGCTAGAGACACTTCCTATGTACTTTAGGATTTTCCAGGTAGTTATTTCTCTTCTCAGGTACAATGGCATTATTTCTTAAATTTGATGTTTTGCAAACAATGTTGTAAATATGTTCTCAGAATAATATTTATTAGATTTCTTGAATCCTTTCTTTCAAACATACATAGAATATATTAAATACATATAATTCAAAATATTGCTTTACTTTAAAAGAGTTAGCTAATCACGCACTTCATGACTTGAAGGTTAAGGCAGAACCAGCCACTGACTGCTTTGCCCCTAGACTCTAGAGGAAAACAGCTGAACAAGCCAAGGCTGGAAGCAGGGCGCAGCCCAGGAGCATGTCACCGTTCAGGGCCCAGAGCTGTGCGGCCGAGACACGGGAGAACTACCTCGGGGCACCGGCAACAGGGGGACCCGCACGCCCGCCGACCCCCTCCCTAATGATGCCCCAGGGATGCCTCTTGGTCAGCAGCTGTGCCTCACCCCAAAACCACCCAGAAGGCTGAGCCCAGCACGCCGGCCCACATGGAGCCTTCCGTGGTACCCGCATCAGTGTCCACACAAGCTCAGCGCCAAGACCCTTCTGGAACCAAAGCTCCTCATCAGAGCGCATCTGCTTTGCCTCTCTGCTTCCTCTGTGTGCCTGCTCTGCACCCTTGCTGTAGCCCGGCTCTGGAGCCTTGGCCAAGGGTCCTCTGCCTGTCTGCTTCCTCTCTGTGTGCCTG